CTAAAATCCAGTGTGTGTCAGGGTTAGGGTGCCACATCCTTCTGGTGGCTCCAGCTTGTCACCATCCTCTCAGCACTCAACACCCCACGCCACAAGGGGTGATGGCAGCCCCCAACAATGTCCCCAGGAGAGGCCATGGCTCCAGTCCCCAAGTGTAGCCGGTGACACAGTCCCCCTTTCCCAGGTGCATGGCATGGGGGACCCGTGGGGATCCTGGTGGGGGGCTGAGGCAAGCCCCATCTCTGGGGAGCAGCCTTGCAGTGGTGATGCCACCTATGGCATGCAGCCTGGCACCTCTGCCAGGAGACACGGCAGAGCATGCCGGGATGGGAGCAGGGCTGGTCCCCATTCACCGGCAGACCCAACTCCGGGGTAGGGGCCCAGACTGCGGGATGTGGGGACCCGGGTCAGGGGATGTGGTGACAGCAGGCAAGCAGGGTGACACAAAGGCACAGGGAAAGGGAGGTGGCCGCTTGCAGAGGGGTTTCTCCATGCTGGGTAGGGGACAAGCCCCTGCAGCAGGAGCCAGGGACACAGGGGACAATTTGTGGCAGCCTTTGCTCCCCACTGCTGGCACTTTGCAGAAGGGTCACCCCATCCGGGCCCCCAAACCCATCGGTGCCTGCACAGCCTGAGCTCAGCCACCACACATCAGCCCCTCGAGGCCGCCGTTCTGTGTCCCCCCTCCCCCCGCGATGGGGTCAGGGGATGACCGGTGGCACCCGAGGCCGGGAAGGGGCTGCCCTGAGGTCCCCGCCAAAGCCACCCCATCCCGGAGACCCCGGGATGGCCGCGACTGGCGGAGCCACCCAGCGCGTCCCGCCGCAGCCCCCGCCCCACAGCCAAGGTCAGGACACCCGCCCGGGCGCGGGGTAACAGCGGGTGACGGCCAACCCCTGGCCCCCCTCTCTACGCACCCCCTTACCACCCACCCGTGTCCTCCGGGGTGGCCCCGCTATCCCGCCGCTTCCCCCGTTACCCCCCATGTCCCGGGGCTGCATAGGGGCCACGTCCCGTGTGTCCCACCCTCTGCTACCCACAGCGAGGGGTATGCAGGTGCCGAGCCAGGAATCCCCCCCCGCCCTCCGGGGCAGGTCCCGGAGCTCCCGACGGGGCGGGGAAGGGGCTTCCCAGGAGGGTTCTCCCCCCGCCGCTGGCGGCGGCAGCATCCTCCTCCTCCTCCTCCTTCTCTTCCCCCCAACACCTCCCGCGGGCACGGCGGCGCGACAAAGCGCCGGTCCCCGGTGCGCGATCGTACCTGCGGCGGGGGCTCAGCGCCGGCGGCGGGCAAGGAGAGGGGCGAGGAGCGGGGCGGGGAGCGGGGCTTGGCGGAGCGGGCCCCCCCGCTGCCGGGCCGCCGGGCCGCTCCGCCACATCTGCAGGGGCTGGGGGCGGGGGCGGCGGCGGGGCTCTGCCCCCCCCTCCCCGGTCCCCCGGGCGGCGGCGGCGGAGGGTGGCGGCAGGGCGGGGGCTCTGCCCGCCGTGATTTATGGCCGCCCCGCACCGACCGGCCCGGCCCCGGCTGCGGGCGGGAGCTGGGCGGGGGCCGGGGCCGGCCCCTCCCCGCCGCGGGGGGCACCGGGGGGTACGGCGGGGGGGAGCCCCGCCCCGTGAGGGGGACACACACAGTAAGGGACACGCGGGGACACCCCCAGCGCAAGGTCACCCGGGCGCTGCGGCAGAGCCGAGCCCCCCCTCCCCCCCCCCGTGTCCTTGTCCGTCCCCCCCCGGGGACGTGGCGCGGAGGGGGCAGGATGGGACCCCCAGCGGCGATGCGGGAAGAGGGAGGTGGTGCCCACCAGAGCCTCCCCCCCCCGTACCGGGGCCGCTCGGGGGGGGAGGGGGTCACAACGGGGATGGGGGGGGGGGATCCCCCTCCCCGCAGGAGCAGCGCCGCCCTCCCTCAGAGTGATGTCACGGAGAGCGGCTGGCGTCACGCCTGGCGGGGGCCTCCGCATGACGTCACCCCCGGGGGGGTTGTCCCGGGGCGCCGGGGCCGCGGCTCCTTCCGGCGGCAGGATGTGGCGGGGCCGGCCCGGATGCTGCAGCCCGCACCGGGGGGGGCCGGGGGGGGAACTCCCTCCCGGGGCGGCCGGGGGGGCTTCGCCCGCGCTACACACGCGGGTGGCCGCTGCGCGTCCCGCCCCGGGGGGTCCTGCGGGGAGCAGCAACAGGGGGGCACACGGGGGAGGGGGGAAATCACCCCCCATATGGTTTTTTTGGGGTGCTGCTGGGTCCCCAAGACATTTTCTTTTTTGAGGTTTTTCCCAAAAAAGGAGTGGGGGGGAACCCCGATTTCTCTGACCCCCCCAAACGATGGAAATAAGCTGAGCTGCCTCTTGGGGGTATATAAGGGGGGCGCTTTGATGCCACCCACGGCGGTGGTGACCCCGGTGGGGACGGGGACATGCGGTGACTCGGTGGCCCCGGCCTGGTTACCAACGCCCCTTCACCGGACACCACGATCATGTCCCGTCCTGGTCCCAAAGTGCTTCCCAATGGGGCCCCTCCCGGGGACACCCGGGTACCTGCCACACACAGGCAGGAGGCTGGCACCGCGTCTGGGCATCCCCCCTCCCCCCCCCCGCAGGTGTGGGGGGCTCCGGGGAGTGATTGGGGGGGCACGGCGGGGGGTGCGGGGTCCCTTCGCCCCCTCTCCGAAGCAGGGAGGCGATGCCCAAGCGCCAGCTGCCGGCACCGGCCCCGCCAGGCAGGGGGGACCGCGGGTGTCCTCGCACCATGGGATGATGCCGCAGCCCCCGGCAGAGAGGCCCCCGTGGAGGATGGGCCGGGGCCAGGCAGAACCTGTCCTGCGAGCTCCGAGCGGGGCTGCGCGGGGGAAAGAGGGGGGGGATCCTGCCTGCCTGGGGGACACGCCATGCTCAGGCCCCCCTTGCTTGTGTCTCTACTGCCCCCTGGCCCCACGCAGGCAGTGTCGGGTGGGGGGGTGTGGGGGCTTTGGGGGACCCCCACAGACCCCCGGCTGTCCTGCATGGCTCCTGCCAGCCCCGGAGCCCCCCATCAGCCATGTGACCCCTGTCACCACCGGATTACTGAGCCCTGTGGCAGCCCCATGGCTCCTGCCAGCCCCCAAAGCTTTTTCCCCTCCCTCCCCCCGGCAGCCCCTGTCCCCCATAGGGCAGGGCCAGGCTCTATGGCACGGTGTGGGCCAGAGGTGTGGGGAAGAGGAGGGGTTCAGTGTCCCAGGGTAGCAGGGGGAGCAGGAGCTGCAGGGTCCTGCTGGCAACAGGGATGGGATGAGGATGTGATCAGATAGTGTAGAACAGGATGGGACAGGGATGGGATTTGAATAGGACTGGATAGGATGGGGTAGGGTAGGCTGTGATGGGACTATGGCAGGATAGGATGAGGACAGGATGGGATGGAACAGCATCAGATGAGGTTGGACAGGGTGGAACTGGATGGCATGAAGACAGGATGGGACGGGGTGGGGATAAAATATGTTGGGGTAGGATGGCATAGGTAGGATAAGATGGGGATAGGATGGGGATAGGATAGGGAAAGATGAGATGTGACAGGTTGAAAATAAGGTGGGATAGGATGGGATTGGAACAAGACAGGTCAGAATAGATGGAGAGAAGAGAGAGGGAGAGGAGAGGAGAAGAGAGGAGAGGGCCAAGACAGGTCAGGTTGGTATGGGATGAAGATAGGATGTAATGGTGACAAGAGGTCAAGATAGAATGGGATGGGATAGGATAAGATAGGATAGGGCATGATAGGATAGCGCAGGGTGGGGGGTGGAATGGGATGGGTTAAGGTAGGATGGGATGAGGACAGGATGCAATGGGGACAAGAGGTCAGGATGGGATAGGGTAGGATAGGATCAGATGGGGACAGGGCCATATGGGATGAGATGTAATGGGTCTGGGTGGACAGGGTGGGATGGGGATAGGTCAGGACAGGATGGGATAGGATGGGATTGGGAACCGGTTAGAATGGGATGGGGTAGGACAGGGATAGAGCAAGGTAAGATGGGATGAGATAGGATGTAATAGGGATGAGAGATCAAGATAGGATGGGATGAGATAGGATGTAATAGGGATGAGAGATCAAGATAGGATGGGATGAGATATGGTAAAAGTGGATGGGGACAGGGCCAGATGGGATAAGATGAAGTGGGGATGCAACAGGATGAGAAAGGGACAGGTTGGATGGGATGGGGATGGGCTGGATTGGATAGGATTGGATGGAAACAGGTCGGGATAGAATGGGTCAGGTTGAGACAGGTTGGAATTGGATGTGATAGGATTGGATGGTGACAGGTCAGGATGGGATGGGGATTGGTCAAAATGGGATGGGGATGGGTCAGGTTGGGACAGGTCGGAATGGGTTGTAATAGAATGGAGACAGGTCAGGATAGGATGGGGATGGGTCAGGGACAAGTTGGGATGGGATGGGGACAGGTTGGGATGGGATAGGATGGGATGGGGACGGGTCAGGATGGGACAGAGACAGGTTGGGATGGGATGGGGACAGGTTGGGATGGGATAGGATGGGATGGGGACGGGTTGGGATGGGGTAGGATGGGATGGGGACGGGTCAGGATGGGACAGAGACAGGTTGGGATGGGATGGGGACAGGTTGGGATGGGATGAGATGGGATGGGATGGGGACGGGTCAGGATGGGACAGGGACAGGTTGGGATGGAATGGGATAGGAGGGGATGGGGATGGGGACAGGTCAGAATGGGATCGGATGGGATGGGATGGGGACACATCGGAATGGGATGGGGTAGGATGGGATTCGATGGGGACAGGTCGGAGTAGGACGGAGCTGCGCAGGACGGGACGGGGTGTACGGTCTGGGGACGCGCAGGTCGGACCGGGCGGGACGGGCCGGGCAGGACCCCCGTTGCCGAGCCCCGCCATGAGGTGGTGCCGGGGTCGCTCCCGCGCCCCGCGCTCCCCGCGCCGTCCTTTGTTTACATGGGCCGGTGGCTGGCGGAGGCGGAGGCGGCGCCGCCGGGGGCGGGCGGGCGGGGGGAGGCGGCGGCGGCGGGCGGGAGCCGCCGCGCTCGCACCAGCTGTTTCCCGCCTTGAGCCGCAGGCAGAGGCCGCCGGAGCCGGAGCCGGGCCTGGCCGCCCCCGCGCCGCTCCGGCATGGAGTACTTCATGGTGCCGGCCCAGAAGGTGCCGTCGCTGCAGCACTTCAGGAAATCTGAGAAGGAGGTCATCGGCGGGCTCTGCAGGTGGGGGCCGGGGGGCGCGGGGGGCTCGGCGCGGGGCTCGGTGCCCCCAGACCGCATGCGGGTGTCGGGTTTGGGGGTGATCGGGGGTGGGGGGGGGCAGCACAGCGCGGCCGCCGCAGTCCCACCGCCCGCACGTGGTCCCGCCGCGCACATGGGGCCGGGCGGCCACGCGTGGCGGGATGGTGGCGGGAGGCGCAGCCCGCTCGGCCCCGCTGCCCCGTGGGGTTGGGGGGTCTGGAGGTGTGTGTGGGGTTAACGGGGTGCGGGGGGGTCCGGCGCGGTGTGCGGGGGGGTGTGTTTACTGCCGGGCCTGGCCGTGACTCTGCAGCCCTCCCGGAGGAGGCGGGTCGCGGTCGGGGCTGCCGGGACATGTAGTGCGGGGAGGCGGCGGCACAAAGCCCGCGGACGAGGCGGGGAAGCCCCGGCGGATCGGGGCAGCCCCCGAACCCTTGCACCCCGGCCGGGCATGGGGCTGGAGCCGCGGGGCCGCCCCGGGCCGGCGGGGCCTGGTGGGGAGGCGGCGGCGGGCGGGCCCCGCCACGCGTGGGGGGCGGTGCAGGCCCCGCTGGGCCATGCGGGACGGTCCGCGGCGGTCCGGGGCCGTGGCAGCGGCTCAGGATACCCCCCGCCCCGGGCCTGCCTCGCCGTGGGGCCCGGCCGCGTGTGTGGGGCGGCCCGCGCCCGTGGAGCCGCTGTAGTGCAGCTCTCAGCAGCCAGGCCCCGCTACACGTGTGGGGCAGCCGCGGCCCCTTGAGGCCCAGCCCCGCCAGCCCGAGCCCACACGCACCCTCCCCAGGGGGCGGGCCTGCCCGAGCTCACTGCTGCCCCACGGGCTCACCTGGGGCCAGGGGCTGCATCCCGGTGGTGCTCAGGGGGTGCCCGCTCTTGAGGGCACCCGGGGGCTGCAGCTGCGGGGTGGCTTCTCCGGCATCCCCCATGTTGGTCACTGCGGGTGGCTGTGGCCCAGCGTGAGCCGGTGGCCTCCGTGGGAGGGCGAGTGCATGGGGCAGGGAAATTTGGACATTATGCCCAAAGGTGGGGAGCTGCATGGCCCCACACCTGCCCCTGGTATGGGGCAGAGCTCTAGGGGAGCCTCACTGCCTTTCCACCACCCTGAGTTCTCCGCTGCCCTCCCTATGAGCTCCAGGCAGTGGGGGATGCCCTGCCTGCAAGCTCAGGGTGCTGGGAGACACCCTGCCTGTGAGCTCGGGTACACCTTGCCTGCAACCTCTGGCAGCCTGCCTGTGAGCTTAGTGAGCTTGGGGATGCCAATCCTGTGAGCTTAGGGACATTCTGCCTATAAGCTTATGGATACTTTGCATTCAGGCTTGGGATACTCTGCTTGCAAGCTTGGGGGCACCCTGCCTGTGACCTCAGGGAGCTTGTGGCACCCTGCCTGCAAGCTTGGGGACATGCTGCCTGCACAGCCATGTCTTCCCTGCACACCAGTGCAAGCTGCAGTGCTGGTTGTGGGCAGAATGGGGCCAGTATTGGACCCAGCGTTTTTGCCAGGCAGAAGCGGCATGGCATCAGTGAGACCCAGCAGCCTTGTGGGTTTGTTACCATGGAGGTCTGGGTGAGTGTGACTTTCCTGCTGTGCTGTGCCAGGGGCTGATGGACCACAAGGGTTGGAAGGACCAAATTCTGCTCGACTGACCCAAACCTGCAGCACCAGATCTAGGCTAAGGACACCCTGGGGTTTCTTTCCTGTGCCAGGGCTCCAGTGGGTGCCACTTGCTCACCCTGCCTCTGTCTTGCCCCATCCCTGGCAGTACTGGTTGCCAAGGAGCTTCTGAATCCATGGGGGTTTTCCCCCTTTCCATACTTCACTGTCACTTCTCGGGTCTCTTCCTAGGAAAAGCAGCTGGGTCAGGTTGCGGGAGGTCTGCCGGCAAGGAAGCAGGCTCTTCCTCCTTCCCCGGTATTTAAGAAACCGCTTCCGTGCTGCCCAGTCCTGGGCCTCTCCGTCCCATTCCCCGTGCATGGCTGCAGCTGGCACTTCAACATCCCAGAGCCGCACTCTGGCCACCTCTCTGGCCCCACCAGGCATTGCTGCAGGGAGATGGGGAGCAGACCCTGCCTGTATGAAAGGATTGTGTCCCTGAGACCTGCCGGGTTTTGGAGTGTTCTGGGGACAAGTTTGGGGCTGGTTTTCAGCAGGAGCAGGGAGGGGTGCTGGCCACTGCTGGAGGGGAGCCTTGTGCCACCATCCCACTGCAGGCAGCTCTTGGTCTGTGTGGTTGGATGGCTGTTCTCTGTGAGTAGTGCAGACCCCCAGGCACCCATTTGAGCTCTGCAATACCTAGGACACCCACTGGGAACTGCACAGGAGAGAACTAGTGCAGGGGGAAGTCAGCACCCAGTGCCAGCCTGCACTGGGATGCTGCCTCAGTGGCTGGGGACAAACATGTTCCTGGCCCCATGGACTGAGCTTGGATCTTTACCCATCCCTCTGGGATGCACTGTGCTCTTTCCTCATCCCCCCTAAACTAAATGGGTATCCTTTCCCATCCCTCTGGGAATCTTTCCCATCCCATCTGGCATCTTTCCCCATGCCAGCATCTTGGAGGAGTTGCAGTGCATTCCCTGGTCACAACAGGCGATGGGTGGCCTGGGACCCTCTGGACGCTGCTTGGGCACCCAGCAGTGCAGCAAGTGGCTTGCTGCTAAGCCTAAGTAGCTTGGGTTTGCCACTTCATGCTCCCAGATCTGCATGGTTCTTCCATGGCCTTGCTGGGACCGCAGGGAGGGCAGGATGCCAGGCTTTGCTTTCCAGCCTGGCACTGGCAAGGCGCTGGGTAGGATGGTCCCATCTCCCTCTCCTGGAGCTCCTGGACACCTGGGCAGGAGGCTGGAGCCGTCTTATCTTGCCTTGCGCCTCAGCCTGGCCGTTGTGTTTAGTCTTTGATGCCTTGCAGCATCCTTGGCACCGGCGGCCTGCCTGGTGGGAGCTGGGTGCTTGTATGCACCCTGGGGAGGGCCACTCCTGGCAGTGGGGACGTGAAATGACTGGTGGTGTGGCCAGGGCTGCTGGTTGTATTGGTTTGATGTCATGGCCAGCTATTGTCCTGCACCACGCTTATTAATTGCTGATGCTGGCCACTACCTGGCAGGCTCACCATCCCATTGATCCAAAACCCTTGCCTGCATTCACTTGCCGTGCTCCCTGGGCTCCTGGGGAAGCGGGGTGTGGGTGAAGAAGCCAGAACCCCCGCAACAGCGGGCTTTGCTTGGGGGGTTGATGACCCTGACCCATGGGTGTTGGCCTTGGCCACCTATATCCCTCCCTGCTGCTGTCCCCACTTGCTGCTGGTGGTGTTGCCAGCTCTGGGAGGCATTTCCTGGCCCATCTGCGGGTCGAGGGCGTGGGGGGCGAGGAGGCAGCGGCAGGAAGCAGGCAGGAGCTGCGGCTTGGGGTGGGACGGGGGCTTCTCTGCTGGGAGCTGTCATCTGGAAGCCATCAGCAGGGTGGGAGGGAGGGAGCCGCCTTCCTGGGGCCACACACGCTGGGCGGCCCCGTGGGGACAGAGCCGGCCGACCCGCAGCCTCCCTCGCCTGCCCAGGGGTCCCTGCCATGCCCAGCCCTGGTGCTGGTGCTGGGCAGCCGCAGTCTGAGCTCAGCAGAGCTGGGGGGTCTGCAGTGGGGCTGTTCAGTCAGTGCATCCCCCAGAGCTTCAGGTACGGTGCTAGAGAAACTCACCCACCCGCTTTTGTGCTGGCCAGCGTTACAGCCATCATCCCCTCCATGTTTGCTGCCTGTGGGGGGTTGGCATCATCATTGCAAAGTGAGGGCGGCAGCTGGGGGCAACGTGGTAGCAGGGGTGCAGTCCCCTTCTCCCTTACCTGGTGCCTCTCTCCTAGTTTGGCTAACATCCCATTGACTCCGGAGACCCAGCGGGACCAGGAGCGGCGGATACGCAGGGAAATTGCCAACAGCAACGAGAGACGGCGGATGCAGAGCATCAATGCTGGCTTCCAGTCTCTGAAAACCCTCATCCCGCACACGGATGGGGAGAAGCTCAGCAAGGTGAGCAGCATGCAGGCACTGTTCTGCACGTGAAGGTTTTCAGAGTTCCTTGTTGGGCAGGACAGGGCTGTAAGAGTAATTGGAGTATTTGCTTATGTTAATTCAGTGATGGAGGTCTCTTGGGAAGAGGTTTCCTCATGAGAGCGGGTGTGCGTTGCAGCCCTGGTGTCTCAGAGTGGGCTGGGTGTATGTGACAGCACCCTGTGAGCAAGGTGGCAGGTGCCTTGGCAACAAGGTGGCCACGCTGTGCAGGCAAGTGGGTTGAGGAGCTGGCGCTTGGCTGCCATATGTGTTCCTGAGATGAGTGAACTGGAGGTTCACCATGATGGAAATCCCAGGGGTGAAGCAGAACCTGGACGGAGATGCTGGGGCCAGGCAAGGAGCAGTGCTGCTGTGTCCCAGGCAGGGAGGGAGCTTGGCTGGAGCAGGGCTTGGGGAGATGCCGTGGTCTCTCCTGTCTCAGTGTTCCCCTCCCGGCTCTTCTGCAGGCGGCCATCCTCCAGCAAACGGCTGAGTACATCTTCTCCCTGGAGCAGGAGAAGACTCGGCTACTGCAGCAGAACACCCAGCTCAAGCGGTTCATCCAGGTAACGCCTGCTTATGTGCCCCAGGGATGGGGTGGGAAGGGATGGGACAGTCCCGGTTGGCCAGGGAGGGGACATTGTCACTGTTCCTTGGTGTCAGGGCAAGACCCTCTGCCCTGATAAGCCAGGGAATAGAGATGTTTTGCACCCTTCCGGCAGGGCATTGGAGTGCTGTTCAGCCTGGCCTTTGCTTGGCAGGGGAAGAGGGGCTGGGGTCCCATTTTCCATCTGGGGTATCTTGGTACGGCCTGGTGGCTCCTTCAGTTCTGGGGCAGCGCAGTTGAACTATCATGGGTGTTACCCTTTGAGAAGTGGGTTTGCATGAGGTTGGGGACTGAGGACCAGGAGGGTGGGTGTTCTCAGGGCACAGGAGCTATCTATCCCCAGGTGTAGGTCCCACATCCCTGGGGAGACCCTTCCTTGCAGGGAGCTGTGCTAGGGGTTGGTCAAGAGGGTGGCACCATGGTCTGGATGCCATGGTCTGGATGGTGGGGAGAACATCAGACATGGTCTGGATGGTGGGGAGACATCAGAGCTGGTCCCTGTCCCTTGACGCCATGTCCCCTACTGCAGGAGTTCAGTGGCTCCTCCCCGAAACGACGACGGGCAGAGGACAAGGACGAGGGGATTGGCTCACCAGACATCTGGGAGGACGAGAAGGCTGAGGATCTGCGGCGGGAGATGATCGAGCTTCGGCAGCAGCTGGACAAGGAGCGCTCAGTCCGCATGATGCTGGAGGAGCAGGTGAGGCCATGCGGGGCCAGATCCAGCTGGACCCATCCTTTAGCATCCTTTGGCCCTGCTGGAGCTCCTTGGAAATGCTGGTGCGGCTGGAGTGTACCAGGTCATCTGCTCTAGCCACCTCTGTGCTGTGCTTGGCTGTGGGCTCCCTGGCTCTGCTGTGGCCACTGCATGGAGGGGGACAGTCCATGGCTGGGGATCAGGGGGTGCTGTGCCAGCAGCAGGCTGGGCTCCCCACCAATGTCAGGTCTCTCTTGGCTGGCAGGTTCGCTCCCTGGAGGCCCACATGTACCCCGAGAAGCTGAAGGTGATCGCTCAGCAAGTGCAGCTCCAGCAGCAGCAGGAGCAGGTGAGGTTGCTGCACCAGGAGAAGCTAGAGCGCGAGCAGCAGATCCGAACCCAGGTGAGTGTAGATGCTGTCCCAGCCCACCCTGGATGTAGTCCACCCATGGGGACACCCTGATAACCTCCCACCACCTGAATGGTGCAGCTGGGTGCATGGGAAATGAAATACAGGCAGTCGGGCAGTTTGGTGATGTGCTTGGCACCTTCTGTGGGCTAGGCGGGGATGGACAGTGAGGTCCCAGCAAAGCTTTCTCCCTTGGAGAATTGGGAAGAGGTCACTGCACAGCCCACTCCAGCATCCAGGGGAGCTGCGCTTATGGGGCCAGTGTTTTTGGTGGTGGTGGGGGAACTGCGCTTATTGGGTACCCCATGGTGGTGCGGGGGATCATGGCTTGGACCATGGTGCAGCAGCTTCCAAGCAGCTCTGTTGCCCAGCACGGATGGCTTTGTTTGGGAAGGTTGCTTTCTGGTAGGCAGGGATTCATTCAGCTTGGTGTTAGCAAGCCCACAGCTTTCCAAAGCTGTGCTGGTAGGTGCTGGATGCGGCCACCCCTCATTTGCCCCTCCAGCAGCATGTCCCTCCCTGCTAGGCTCTCCCCACTAGGCATGAGTGGAGAGCAGCTCCCACTTGAGTGAGGTGTGGTCCTGCCCCAGCTCCCAGCAGGCACATTTCCTCACCCTCAGGTGATAAAGTGACATCCATCCCATCTGGGGGTGATGCTGGCAGTGGTTGATGCAGGTAATGGTCCCTGTGCTGGGGCAGGTGGTTTGCAGTGGTGGGGAGGCCAGCCCCATCTCTGGCGGTTCACCTCTTGCTGGGTGACTCCTGCTGAATTCTGGGGACCCCCAAACCACTCCTTGCCACCCACCAGGCTAGGAAGGGGGAGCAGTCAAGCTGGCAGGCAGTGGTGCTTGGCAGATGTGGCAGGACAACAGGGATGGAGCTGTCTGCTTTTTGCCTTGGCACAGTTGGATTTGCTAACGGTGGGGGGAGCCTTTGGCCAGCCTGGTGCAGTGAGGAGGCGAGCGCAGGGTGAGCGCGGTGCCGGCACCCGTCCTTGCTCACTGCTGGCACCTGTCTTTGCTTGCAGCCACCCTGGAGCTCAGCCGAGGGGATGCTGGTCTGAGGAGCTTCAAAGGGAGGGAGAAAAACCGGCTTCCTCCCTCCCTTGGCTTCTCTGGAGCTGTGTCCCTGCAGGATCCCTGCCGGCCGCCTCCTGGGGAAGTTCAGCCTATTTTTAGGTGAACTCTCCTTAGCCTCTTGCTAGGGCGGATCTTCCCATCTGCTCTTCTAATGAGGAGCTCGGAGGGGTGCGGCGGGTTCCCAGCTGTGCAGGTCAGGACGATGGGAGGGCTGGCACTTGCCTCTCCTTGGCTTAAAAGTCCAAATCTTTCCCCCTTTGGGATACAGGGAGTTTTTTATGTTCCGCTCTGCCAAAGCTAAGGTGATGCAGCTTTCAGCTGGCATCCTCTCGCATTTGGCCGGGATGGGTGAACTGGAGCAGCTGAGCTGCTGCTTCAGTTTTTGTGGGCTCTCAAAGGAGTTTGGTTTCCACAAACAAGTGTGATGCTCTCCCCATCACCACCATGCCCTGGTCTGTTCTGACTTAAGGGGTTTTTATCTTCTCTCCCCAGCTCCTGCCATCACATGCTCCCCCAGCGCCCACCCACCACCCCACTGTGATCGTTCCAGCGCCGCCTCCCTCCCATCACGTCACCGTGGTCACCATGGGCCCGTCCTCGGTCATCAACACAGTCTCCACATCCCGGCAAAACCTTGACACCATCGTTCAGGTAAGGGGGGCACCGGGGAGGACAGTGGCAGGAGTGCCTTGGGGGGGTCCCTCACCCTGCTGGGTGCATCAGAAGAGGGTACACAATGTCCTGACGGGGAGTGGTTGCCCTCGGCAGGCGATCCAGCACATCGAGGGGACGCAGGAGAAGCAGCTGCAGGAAGAGGAGCAGAGACGTGCTGTCATCGTGACGCCGGCACGCGCCTGCCACGAGCCCTCCGCCTCCGACACCGCCTCTGACACCGAGGGCAACGACAGTGACTCCATGGACCAGAGCAAAGAAGAGCCCTCGGGGGACGGGGAGCTGCCCTGACACCCCCCGGCCAGCAGCCGGGCTGGGGACCGGGGCGGGGGGGAACGTCAGAGAATATGCTGAGATTTTTAAAAAATACAACGCGATTTGGGTCTCTTTTATGACCTCTTCCCAATACTGTAAAGCAGAGCGCTAGAGGCAGGTGAAGTCACCCTGCAGCTCCCGGGGGGGGAGGCTCGGGGGGGGGTGGGCACTCAAGGGTGGCCACAGGGGACGCGGGGGGCTCGGGGTGCAGTGGGATGGTGGTGGGGGGACATTAGGGATGGGGGGGGGGGTGTCACAGCTCCCCACCCCATGTTATCAACCCCCCCCTGCTGACCAATGGGAAATCCTGCCAAGTCGTCGTGTTCCCGATGGTTTTCCCTTGGGATGGGGCCTTTGGTTGGGATCTTAATTTGGTTTTTCCTTCTCTTTTGTGGTTTGTTTTCTTTTTTTCTTTTTTTAATTAAATGTTCGTTTTTAAGCAGCAGGGAGATGCCAAGTGACACAGCAGCAAAGGTGGGACAGGGATCTGGCTTTGGGGTACAACCAGCCCCACCACGGCTCCCACACTGTGCGGGGCAGGGAAAACCCCTTGGGAGACCAAAATAAATCCTGGGATTATGCCATCGGAGCACAGGCGGGAGGGACAGCACATGCCACCCCGCAGTGTTTCCAGTGCTCACCTCTTTGGCACAGGGATGGTGGTTCGGGGGCTGATTCCACACTCCCATCCCTGTCTCCATCCCCCCACCTTGCACCCATCTCTCCTTTAAGCACTTAATCTGGTTTGTGGGGTCTGTCAGCTCCAAAGAGCTTTTCTCCTTCATGATTGTGTCGCTTGGGTCTGTTGTGGCGGGTGGGGGGGTCCCCATTCTGTGTGTCCCCCCCACCGCCCCCCCCCCACCCGGCTGTAGGGTTTTAGGCCAGTTGTGTGTAGAGCCTGGGTGGTATTTCGTAGGTTCCCCCCCGCCGCAGCTGTTTCTCAGTTCCTTTCCCTTTTTTTTTTTGCTTTTTTTTTTTTTTGTTTTTTTTTTGTTTTATTTTGTATTTTTTTTTTACGATTTTCAGGTCTTTGTGTTGATTGAGAAGCTATTCTATTTTGTTAAGAAAGTGGAAAAAAAAAAAAGAGGCTCGTGCCTTTGTAAAGAAACAAAATAAAGTTTGTACTTGGTTTTTTAGAAGCTCAGTCCCGACATTAACATTTGTGGGGGTGATGGGGATGGCGTCAGCTCTGGGCCTTGTGGGACCCTGGTCCCTCTTGGGGGCCCTGGGGCTGGTGGGGAGGACAGGGAGCACTGCCTGCAGTGGGAATAGCAGGCAGGGAGCGGGCAGGAGGATGCTGGCCCCAGCAAGGTTTCCTGCTGAGTGACTGGGCTATATTTAAAGCTCAGCCCTGCCAGCGCTGCCCGCACATGCTGCGAGCACACTGGGGCTCAGCTTGCTGCTGCGATGAGGGGGGTCTGGGGCTGGTTTTAGCAAGGCTGTAAGGCTGGGGTGAGGTTTTGTATCCTCTGCCCTGCAGATGGCACCTGTGGTGTTCCAGGATGGGGGTGTCCCCATAGCTGGGGGGGCACTCATCTCCGCATGGCTTTCCATGGGGCTGTTGCCCTGCCTCATGGCTCTGTCGAAGTGGGGGCACCTATCTCTCAACAAGGCTTTTTTTTTGGGGGTGGCACCCACCTCTTGACATTTCCCCTGGCTCTGAGTCTTCTCCCACTCCCCATCCACATCATGGTGCTCAGTGGTGCCCAGCTGAGGACCAGCTCCTGCCTGCTCCCTCACCATTGTCCCCTCCCTGACACCTCCAGCTCGGGACCACGGGCTCCCCCCTTGCTCCCACATTTGCAAGGAGAGCTGGGCTTGGTGTGGGGAGGGGGCTCATGTTTTCCCCCAATTTGTCCCTTTCCCAGAAACAAGCTGAGTCATGGCCCCCCAAAAGTGGCTCCTCCAGTGATGGCCTGCTACAGGCAGGCTTTGGGGACAGTGCTGAATGGCTGTCCCCTACAAGTGAGGGTGGCAGGAGCTGTAGATCCTGCACCTCTGGCTCCCACCATCCCCATGCCATGCTCTCAGTGCGGTGCTGGTGACGTTGGGGACACACCCAGGCATGTCCCTTGCCTACAGGGTACATGGCATTGCCTGGAATTGGTGATGTGTGGTGGCCCAAGAGGCTCCCAAATCAGCCCAGGACAAGGTGCCTGGGGACACCCACCTCTGGGGACAGATGGGGGACTCTGCGGTGCCATGATGCTTGGCTCTCCCCCTCCGTGAAATCCTGATCCCGCCAAAAACGGGTTGCAGGGACTTGAGGCAGCGCAAGGAGATCCAGTGGGATGCTGTGACGGAGACTCTGACCCCGCATGGGCAGTGCTACTCAAGGAACCCCATGTCAGGGTGCCACCACATCCATGGCTCATGCCATGACCCTTGCCCAGTGCTGCACCACTGCCAGTGTGCCCCTTTCCTGTCCCTGTCCTCATCCCCAGGGCCCCCTGGGAGTGGAAGAGCGGCAGCAGCAGCATCTGTGCTGGCCGTGCGGCAGCTGCCGGCCCTGCCCTGTGCCTGACGACGTATAAATAGAGGCAGCGAGCAGCAAGGAGCTCCTGGCAGCCACCATGAAGTGCCTCAACCTGCTCTGCTGCTGCGTGGCCTCCCTCCTGCTCCTCAGCACTGCAGGTACAAGCTGCCCACAGGGCTGTGGATGCCTGTGGGGCTTCAGGGTCCTCATGGGGCTGTGGGTGAACACATGGCTGTGGGTCTCCGTGGGACTGTGGGTCCCTATAGGGCTGTGGGTGGCCACAGGGCTGAGGGGTCCCATGGAGCTGTGGGGTCTCATGGGGCTGTGGGTCCCCATAGGACTGCAAGGTGCCTGTGAGGGTGTGTGTGCCTGTGGGATAGTAGGTGTCTATGGGGCTGTGGGCACCCAGCAGAGCTGTGGGCACCCATAGGGCTGGGGGTGACTATTTGGTACTGTTGGCATCTTTGGGACAGTGGGTGCCTGTGAAGCTGTGGGCTCTCACTGAGGCTGTGGGTGCTCGTCAGGACTGTGGGTTCCTGTGGGGCTTTGGGTGCCATGGGGCTGTGAGTGCTCTGCAAGGTTGCAGGTACCCGTGGGGCTGCAGGTGCCATGGGGCTGTGAGTGCCCTGCAGGGCTGCAGGTACCCTTAGGGCTGCTGGTGCTGGCAGGGCTCTGGGTGCCTGTGGGGCTGTAGGTGCTGGTGAGGCACTGGGGTGCCCGGTGAGCCCAGCATGCACCCTATGGCTGGGTGGGTGCCATAGCAGGACAGGGTGACGGGTACAGCTGCTCGGGCTCCCCAGCAGCTCTGCCAGGGCTGCAGTCACCCCCAAATGTGCAGGGAAACACGGCGGGGGCTGTGACTAGGAGGGGCTGGGGGGGGGGGCATGAGCTGGGGTCCCCGCTCTGGAGCCAGGGTGGGCACAGGGGCTGTGCTGCCATTAACGTGTCCAGGGTCAGCGCCACCCATGGGTGCCGAGGTAGCTTGGTTTTGGGCTGTGGGGACCTTGGTGGGGGCTTCCAGGGTGCTGGGGCACCCTGTAGTTGGGACGGAATGGGGTGGGCTGTTTGCCCTGGGGGTCTCCCCTCCACCCAAAAACCTGCCAAGCAAGAAAGCACTTTGGGTGACCCTGGACCCCCTTCCCTGGGCTGTCCTGCTTCCGTCGAACACCCGGATCCCAGCCCTGGGGCCATGCAGCGGGGCGGCATTTCTGGTACCCTTGCTTGCCCTTGAGTTAATTTGGGCCGTTTCTCTGCCTGGCCAGGCTCTGGCGGCTGCGCTGCCGGGAGGGGGGCAGCTAAGTATGGAAACAGCCGTGTAAGGGGACACTGTGCTCCCTGCCGCAGCCCCGGCCCCCCCGGCCCTGTGCCGCCGCGGCCCCGTGCACCGGCACCCGCAGCTGCCGCCTTCCAGCACCCGGCACCCCTGGCCCACACGAGTTTTGGCCTTTTAAGGGCATCTTGGGCCATTCTGGTGGGTAAACGGGGTTTAGGGCCAGCCATGCACCCTGCTGGTGGTGGGGTGACCTCTGTGGGGCCCTGCATCGGGTCTGGGGAAGGGGTGGCTGTCACCATGGTGAGTGACCACCAGCCCAGCTCTTGGTTGTGCTGAGGCCGGCATGGAGGCTGGCATGTCCCAAGCAGTGGCAGATAGGGAGCAGCCTGTGTGATGCCATGGTTCCAGGTGTGTGACTGGGCACCTCATCACCAGCACCTGGCTCAGGCCAGTGTTGGGATCCTCCGTCTTGGAGGTGGCTCCAGGGCCAGGAGGTGCACTGGGGTCTGCAGCTCTGGAGCCAGATCCAAGGGGGGCTGGAGGTCTCCTGCTCATGTGTCTGGAATTTCACCCTCGTCCTGTAGGTTTGGTAAAAAGATGGAAGCAGGCGCCCAGCTTCTGCTCCACAGGGACCAACAGAGTTCTCACAATGGGTTTTGCCCTTCCTTTGGTGCCAAGCTGGGTCCCCAGACCCAGGCTCCTTTGGGGTGCAGGAGGTGTCTCAGAGGGATTGTTCTCCCATCTGTGGGCCTTGTCTTCCCATTTAATTCCCCTTTAGTGAAGAAAAGGTGGGAGGAGCCCAGCAGAGAACCAGGGGCTTCACTGATGCATTGTGGAGAGGTGTGGTCCTCGTGGCAAGGGCAGGTTTGGTGGTGCTTGAAGCCACTTGGGGCCCTGTTACCACTCCTGGAGGCCAGGGGTGGGAAGTGCCCCTTTGGCTTACACAGCTCTCCATGGCACTGGGATCTCCGGCAGAGGCCAGCACCCACTGCAGGGCTGGGTGAGGGCCCAGTGCGAGGGCACTCCCCTGCTACTCCATCCCTGCTCCCGCCCAGGCAAAGGTGTGCTCGCACCTTGGGCAGAGCCTAGCCACCCCTTCCAGGCTGGGTGGACGTAGTGAGTGCCTGTGACCACTGGGAATAGGCAGTGTCCATCCACTGTGCTTGGCAGCTATGTACTGGGGAGCCCTTGCCCACCCCAGGCACGGCAGGATTGAGTGGGGGCTGTGCTGTGCTGTCACCATCTCCAAGCTGGGTGAAGCTGAGGAAAGCCCTGGCATACTGGTGTTCTCCTGCAGCATGTGCTGAGGGCACTACAGGGCTGGCACAGACCTCTCCTGGTGACAGTGAGCGCTGGCCACTGCCCCTGGGACTCCTCATCCTGTCCCAGCCTGGGAGGTGTCACCTCAGTATGGGCTTCCATCACAATGGCCTCATGGCATCTTGGGATGTTCCCCATCCATCACCCAGGACATGTCACCTTGGGGTGCTCTTCATCACCTGGCATGTGTCACTTTAGGGTGGGCTTCACCTCCCAGAACAGAACATCTTGGAGTGGACTCCACCACCTGTGTCACCTTGGCTGGGCTCAGGGCCCCAGGACACAGAATCCATGGGTTCTCCCCACCTTGACCATCCCGGGCAAATGCACCTTAGGGCAACCAGCTTCCCCAGAGATGGGAGACTGCTTGTGTCCCATTAACATGTCACTGGACTCACTCCAGTTCCCCCCCAGGATCAGCACAACTGTGGGCACCACCGCTATTGGGTACAGGGGTGGCCAGTGAGGCAAGGGGCTCGGGGTGCCACAGGTACCCACAGATTTTGATTGCTTGTGCCACCAGCATCCCTGTCACATTCCTAATACTTCATCTGGAGGACCTCCCGGCCCCTGTGGGTACCTCATCTCTCACAAACTGTTGTCTGAGCAAACCAAGGCAGACGCTGGGCAGGTTGCTGTGCTGTGGCAGTCTCTCCCATCAGATATCCTTGTCTCAGTGTGCAGGTGACAGCCAGCCAGGCAGGATGGTGAGGACAGGGCACAGGGCCACCAGTGGGTCCTGTGAGAGTACTGTGCTGGGAGGGCTGTGCTGTGCCCTGGACAGAACTTAGTGGGCTGAGCTCTTGCCATGTTCCTGCTGTGTCCCCACTCGCTGATCCACCACCCCCACACAGGAGCCAGCTCCCTGTGCTGGAAGCAGGGATTCACCAGGGTGCTGAGATCAGCCTGGCCGGAAGGTCCATGGCTGACCAAATCTCATAAAATTGCCCATTCCCTGGTGCTGCAGGAATAGCAGTGGCCCTGGTGCCTTGGCAGGGCTCTGCCCGGCTATTTTCAGCCCATGGGGACATTTCCCTGGTAAGCGATAGCTCGAGGAAGCCAATGCACTC